CGGGCAGCCCGGGTGCTGGGCACCCTGTGAGGTCAGGAAAGGCCACTGTGCTGGGATGATTGGAAGGAGGGAGCCTGTGAGCCATGCAGAGGGTCAGGAAAAGCACATTCACTGCAGAGGGAAGAGAAACCCTGAGCCCAAGTGTGTACCGAGCCTGGGAACAAGGCGGCCCATATGGCCCGAGGAGAGGGTGGAGGGGACAGTTTCCTCCCTGGAATGTGAAGCTCACCTCGCGTCACCTTCTGAGGAACTACTGAGCTGGACTGTGTGAAAACACGGCTCTGGTAACAAGAATGAGGATTTTGCCATACGCCTGATCTATGGTCCTGGCCATGATGACTTTAGTGTTTTTCTAGAAAATTTCTTGTTGACCTTGCCCTGCCTCAGACTCCAGCCCTCTGCCTCTGCTTAGAGCACCTTCTCCCTCCGTCTTCCAAGCCAAAAGACTCTTAGAGACACCCCTGGGTTTCACTTAAACATGGTGTGTTCCCAGAAGCCTTCTTGATTGTCCCCAGGGGAGGGGTGGACTTCCCTTCTTATTAGCATTCACTGCATTACAGCACAAGCTAATGTTTAAGAACTGTCTTTCCAGTGAACCAGGGGGTACAATGGGGCCAACACTCTATCTTGTCCCCAGTTTATCTCCAGTGTTGAGTTTGAGCAGGTCATCCAATGCGCTTGCTTATTCATGGATGGATGGATGGATGGATGGTTGGAAGCATGCATGCTAGTGAAATTTGATCCTAACAGGGCATGTTAGAAGGCAGGGTTTAATTGGACAGTATTATACTAGTGGTTAAAGACAACAGAGTACCATGCAAAGTCATTCATGGTGAGATCATAAATTTTATCAAGAAAAGTCCCCAAGGGGGAATCTGTTAAATGTTTAGAATATTACTTAAAATTGGCAGAATCCCTTCTGGTCATGTAGTTAAATGTCCTCAGTTCACAGGAAGAGGAAGGGGAAGACCTAAGAGATGAAAATCACCCAGTGACTCACCAAAGTCACCCAGTTTGTATGGCCAGGGCTGGGTCTGGTCACCTGGCATTTGGGTTCTCTTGCATTTGATTTGAAGAATGTGCTGGGTACTGCTTGCTTCTAGCACCCCAGGATCCAAATACCGACATGCCATAAAGGATAATAAAATATAACGCAGCTAATGCTGGGCAGAAGTGGTAGGGCTGTTTTGGGGGTTGGCTGTTTCTAGATTTGCTGCATTTTGTGGGCAGGAACTCACCCCTTTCGGGTGAGGGCTTCTAAATCTTCCAGCCTAATTGAATACTTTTGAAAGCATTTAAATTTCTGGATCAGACACATCATGCTCCAACCTGCCTGGCAAATTCCCGCCCCACCCCCCACCCCTCACACTGGTGGAATTCTAAAGTAGCAAACTTGATTTGCAAATAAATTATTAGTAAACATTTGAAAGTGAGAAACAAATTATTCCTGCAACACTTAGCTCTTTCCTTCAAATACACACTTGAAAACTGCTAAGAATCTATTCCATGAGAATGCTTGAATCTCTCCCTAAATCATAACACGGGTAAACTTACCGAAATATTTTTACAATTTTATTAGAGGTTTTAATTCACTGCTTTATCTATCTCTGTTAGACTGCAAAATAGCTTTAAATATTCAAGTGGTAATTAATGAATCTTTTATGTTGCAAATCAAACATTTTCATCTGAGCGCTGGTGGAGTAGCAGTGAAGCAGGATTTAAAGAGTAATTGTTTCTCTGGATTCCACACTGTTGACTAGCATTACCTTAAGTTTGCATGTGTTGCCTGGTGGGGCTAAAGCTCAATGCGGAAGGTCTGCTGTCTTTCGAGGTCAGGATTTCTTAACGTATTTCTTGCCAGAGACATTCCCGACTAGATGGAAAGTCTTTGAATGTGGAATTTTTGCTTGAGTGCAAAATAATAAAAAGCATGTGTATGTTAAAGAGAAAAAAAAAAAGATCAGCTTAATGGCAAATGAGCATTGGCTTACATTAATATTCTATTACAGTAAAAACTTCTATTTAATAAATTTTCTCCAGACTTTTCCCCACCCCAGAAACTAATGTATTTTTCTAAGTGGCATGCCAACCTAAAGAAAGTATGTGATACATTTGATTTATGTTAAGTCAATAACGTGCACAAGCCATTTAAAATTGTATTTTAAGTGTAGAAATATCAATCCAAAGTATAGTCCCTTGTATTGAGAAGGGAGGAGTATTAGCTTTTCAGAGGCTGAAGTGCCTTGTAAATATTATTCTATTTAGAAGATGTTGTTCAAACGTGCTGCTTTATGTCAAGTGGCAAGAAAGCAAGCACAAAATCCCAGTTTATTTGAGAATCGAAAATTAAACTGGTATTAAAGATTCACATAGCGAAATAGTTTTTCTTCAAATTAATGAGAAACAAGCCAGGAAGAGCGGCTCTCCAGAAAGCTCACAAAAAGACTGACAAATTCATCCCTGGAAGTCACCCTGTGTTCTTCTGTGGCCTCACAAATGCTGGACTGGGTGACATTTATGTATCAGAGCAATAAGCTAAACAGGAAACAATTTATGTCACCTAAAGCTTTTTAACAAATCGATGCAACTATTTGTAATTGCTTGTTTCACAAGATTAAAAGTGCTAAGGCCTGATCTTCGCTCACGGATTTGTGGTCAACCTGACCTGTGCTTCCGTTGTTTTAAAAAAAAAAAAAAAAAAAGAATTGGTGATCAGCAGTGACTTCCATCAAGTAATCCATATTGCTAATATTTCTGGAATTTTAATGTAGTTACAATTTATAGCTGATCAAATGTGGTTACCTAAATTGCTGTTGCTAGTAGACAGTTTAACTGTCTTTATTAATTACAGTATAATTTAATGTTTGAGTACCAGCACTTGTGTTGGTCATTTTTACAGCTAGAGCAGTTATCTGCCTTATGACGAACCATTTTAGCATTTTCAATGGAAATTTGCTAATATGATGAGTGATAAAAATGTCACACGCCGGTAAATAATGATTATTGCTTTGGCTGAAATTAATTCTTGAAAGGCCGGTTACCTTCAAATTAACATTATAACTTGAAGCTTGTCTTTTTCCCCCATTTTTCCTCCTCCTTATTCTTGGTATAAGCCAAAGAAAAGGCCGGTGGATCATTTCAAATGGATATATATGTGTATTTTGAGGGGTTACTAGGCATGGAATGTCATTTTACAATCAGAGCAGAAATAAGATGATAGGGGGTTTTGTTTTTTTAAAAAATAAAATGTTGTTTAAAAATAAATAGAAATCTAGAATGACAGCTTTCTAAGCCAAATATTGTCCCACAGTTAAACCAGTGTTTTTGTATGTAATTTAATTTCCCTCCAATGTGAATTCTGTCTTAAATCTTTCACCCATCAGTTCCTTAAATGAAGGTTTGAGACCCAACTTCACTTTATTTAAAGAAAGACTACTTTTGACTCAACTACAATAAAGATGAAAGATAAATTGTGATTACTAGCCTACACATAAATATGTAGTATCATCAAAGAAGGCACAATCTAGTCAGTCAGAAAGACTAATTACAGTATGATTTAATCTTTTTTTGGGGGAAGGGAGAGTAAAAACTATCAGGCAGTTGATTAAGATTGGTGTGAAACTGGTCTTCCTCATTTTATTTAGGCTGTTGACATAAAGGTTCCCATTTAAAAGAAGCACCAACAGTTTGGGTTTGCTGCCTAGTTTATCTGAATGGCAAGCCTGAAATAAAGATGTCAGAGAATGTTCCTGCATTAGAACAATTCCTGAAATACAAATAAAAATGTCGTATGCATCAACCAGCAAAATCTTCACTAATGCAGTGTCATACATACTTGGTTTGGGTCTTTCAGTTGACTCAAAAAATGTGTACATATTTAAATTTACCAACTGCACATGCTCTAAGCAGTGTTTATGTTTAAGCCTGGTATTTAAAGGAATTTCAATTAACCCTAATTTATTTGTAGTAGCTAGAATAAGAATTAAGGATTCAAATGTTTCACTTATTATCAGACTAGCAGGCTTTTAGACAGTGGCATAACTGTTAATGAAAAGGGGCTACTCCTCTGCAAAATACGTATGAAAAAAAATCTGTTTTCCTAATAAGGTCTTTTCAAAACAATGCTGAGGAAGAACATTTATGTTTTATTCAGTGTCAGCTAGTCTTTGCCGAGTAACTGCAAGGGTAATTTTCAAGACGTCCATTGGCTTCTGTTATGTGCTCTGAATCATATATGTAATGGTTGTATGTCATTGCAGTTTGACCACTTAAAGTGCTGCTTTTGATATACCAATTTAATTTTTTTACTCAAAGAGAATGCCCAAATTAATTCATCCTTATAAATGACAGAATAGTATTAGAGAGAAATAGCGAATTTTCCTAGAGGTCTGAAATTCTTAAAAGATCTCAGAAATCAAGATAGTTTTTCTGGAAGTATTCAGTTACGGGAGCTTTTACTCTTTGGTTCAGGGTAGGCAGCTATGGACCAGACCATACTTTTTGATAGAATATTTTTATAAAATCATTTGTTCTAATCTCAGCATTTATCTTTATATGCAAAAAGATTTCTTGATGAGAATATTATAGACGGTGCATGTTTTTGACATTAGCATTTTATTTGGATGAGTAATCTTGCAGATGTGAAATTTAAATGAATTATTCATGAAATTGCTTTCCTTGGAAATTTTAGTTTGCTCTTAATGCTAGTTATTCAATATTTTGTTTTTTCTATATAAAATATGATGGGAAAAAAATCAGTGTGCTTCCTGGAGAGAACAGGTAACCTCCCCTTTTCTGTGTTTTTTTCCCCCTAATTCTCTAAGTGGAGACTTTCACTTTGAAATCCTGAGGGATGAGAGCTTCAGCCCTCTGTGATGATGAAAGCTTTTAGTTAAGATTGATTTTAATTCTGGGCTGGAAGCAGCTGGTGCTAAACCTAAGGCATATGCCGAACATACACTCTCAGCAGGTCAGAAGGGGAAAGAAACTTAGGCGGTGGCGACTTTGACTACCAGTGTGAACAACCAGCATTTTTATTGCATTTGAGAATGCGATCATGTCAGTAATTAGTACTGACTACACAACATTTTTTTTTTATTGTCTGTATCCACAGACACGGAATGATGGAATTACAGTTGATGTCAAGGAATGAGTTCCTTTTATGCCTTATCAAAACAGAACAAAAAGAAAAAAAATTCTTGTTACTGGCAGCACATCTCCACGGAGCACCACGCTCACAGTCCGGGCTGTACCATCTCCACGCAGGCTTCTGGGTAGTGCACGTCGTGAGAACTACACGGGGCCCACATAGATGCCTTTGGAATTGTTAAGTCTCATTCTCGGGAGAGAAAAGCCAAACCGACTCTCAGAAACATCCGGAATATCCAGAGGGTCTACCGTTAAGCAAAAGGTCCCCCAAAGATTCAGAATCCTGACAAACATGTTCTTCTTTGTACCCTTGGAAACAGAGATCAAGCTGGAATGTGGAAAGGAGAGGAAATCTTTTAACTTTTTTTCCCCCGATGATAAAATTGCTTATGACGGACATTGCATTTCGGGTGAAGAATCCAAGGTGTCTTTACCAGGTCTGATGGAACGCTGGGAATCAGGTCGGAGCTGTCCAAAGGTGGCGGGGCTGGCGGTCACTCTTCCCATTCATAAGCCTTGGTATTTCCTTTCACTGCTGGTACACTGCAGGCAGCGCTAACTTGTCTCACAAGGACAGACTAGGGACAATAGGATGGATCCTCATTCCTGACGGTGCATCTGTCTGATGCGAGGGACTGTTCTCCCTAAGGTACGCTTTTCTTTGGAAAAAAAAAAAAGTAACAAAATTGTCTGTACATCTTGGCACCTTGTAAAGTTTTCTTTTTTTTTTTTATACAAAAAGTTCAATAGCTTTGACACTCTCATGATTAATCACTACTTCACTGATAAACTTTGAAAGTGTGACCCTGGAATTTCATCATGCAAAGTATTTACTGCAGCAGGAGAAAACACTTTTTTAAAACAACATTTTTTTTTCTCTTTTCAAATGTATGAACTCATTTAGATAGCCAGGAGGGCAATGGCAGGATAAACACAAGGGATAGGAATGTATCAAAAAACAGATTAACACACACCCGCTCGCACACACACCAAAAAAACCTGTACAAGATGCTCTGATCAATGAGAACAGGGGAAAAAAAAAAATCTGTCAACTATGTTACAATTTAAAAGCCAAAAAAAAAAAAAAAACAAAACAGTTTGGGAGTTTCTCCCTCCCACATGTCAGGAAATGTCATCCGATATTCTTAAAGCAAGAATAACTAAATAAAATACATGTGCAGCATATTCTGCAATTCCATTACATACAGTAGTTTTTTTCCAAAGCTTTTTTTTAAAGTATTGTTAATATAAAGCAGTTGCACAAAAAGCAAAGGTGTTTTGACAAACAGGTGTATGCATTTATTCCTTTTTAGGAACAGTATCTAAAAAAAGAACCACCCTCCGCCCTCCCCCAAAAAAGACAAAGAGTCACACAGACACATCGGGATATATGTACAACATAATAAACCCCATCCTAAAGAAGCAACTGGGATTACCCCCAAGGGATACAGAATCAGAATTGGAAACATCAGAGTGAAGTTTGCTTGCTGTAAAGCCTGAGATTCTTTTTTTTTTTTTTTCAGTTGGTTCTTCTGCAAGGCTGTGATACCTGCAAAGATACGTAAAATCTAATTTTTCTTTTTTTTTCTTTTTGCTACAGTCTTTAGACTAAGCATGCAAGACATACGACTAAGTGCAACTGAGTGAAATGTATTTTTTTTTTAATTTTAATCATTCCCTAAAGGTTTGAACTGAGGTATGCGTACTAACAGTTTCTCATGCTGTTAACTTTACTCATGTCTAGCTACACATGCTGAGAATGAACTAATCTACCAGATTTTTATCCTCTTTTGAATACCAAACTAACCAGCAACCACTCAGTTTAGAAGCGCAGGGCCCCCTTCCCATGACCCTGTCTGGCTACTGCCTGCACATCATGACGCTGCCTGGAAAAGTTGGGGAAAAAAAATGTAAGTCTCGAGTGACCACAGACTGCCCTTTATAGAGAAAGCAGTGTGAAGCTTCAAAAGTAACTGCCAAAGAAGTTTTTCTACCAAGCTTGTGAGTGGACAGGAATGTTACTTTTTTTTTTTTCTTTTTAATGAAAAATGCTGAGGCAAGCCTAATCTGAAAGAAAGGAAGGAAAAAAAGAAAACCTTTAAAAAAAATAAAACAAAAACCTGGAGGATATATATGACAAGAGAAACTAAAATGAACGCAGTGATCATAGCACAGTCCTTAAACAAAAGTGGCATATAATCTTTCTTTGAAAAGAAATGTCTTCTAGAAATAGTATTACACAGTCTAGTTCAATTGTGGAAGCTTTTCTGTTCTCTCTGAATTTTACCTTCATTTTACCATAACTGTCTCCTGGACTGGACACCCCCTAAGTTTCATATGCCATACACTGTGGTTTTTTTTTTTTTCTTTCTTGGAGATGGTACATCCTTAATACTGTATCCTATTTCTCCCTTCAGTAGCCCTGTAATTTCTCTTTACAGGAATGAGTTTTGGTCTCGGTAGGAAGAAAACAAACAAAAAATGACTAAAAAAAAAAAAAAAGTAACTACTTTGGTTCCATTACCTACTTGGTCTCCTAAATGTCCTCTATGATGAAGGAGCAGTTGTCTCAAGTTAGCAATAGCCTATATCTCATCAATTGCCTCTAAATTATTTTGCCTCCTTTGATCAACAAGAAGAGGATATTTGGCTTCATCAGATAAAGCATAAAAACAGAGAACATAATTTAACTTTGTGGAATATCTTTGGTAATTTTAGGGGAAAAAAGGTACAAAGCATATAAATTAAGCTCTCCAAACGGCTCTTGAACTAAAACAAGAGCGACAGTCCTAGATAAATAAATGACAGGAAAGGAGGTGCAAGTGGAAGCATTGAGGGATTCCAAGGACTGAGGCTGTACTGACCTCTGAGCACCACGGCCTGCACGTGCGGCGTGTTTCCCCAGGAGCCCAGGCCGGGCTGAGCCCCCATCTACCTGGCGTCTCGCGCTGCTGGCGGCCGAGACCGGACCGGAGGGTGAGGCCGCCTCACACACTGCACTGCAGCACCAGGTTCGCCGAGTGGAAATTAACTCCTCAGCTTCTGCTGAGCCCAGTCCTCATTAACTCACAGGACAAGCTCAAATGGAAATCTGATTCGCATTCAAACAGATGAATGCCACCAAGCAGGTCTGAATGGACGTTTCCATTGGGGGCCACCGGCACTTTCAGCAGAGTTGCTCTGGGAAGCCAGCTTTGGGGCCATTTTGCAAACAAAGCAACTCATGCTGGGTTTAACAACTGTGAGAGCCTGAGGCCCATCTCAACCAGGTCGTTCCAGGGAGAGCCTTCTCCGGTCGTGCACGCTGTCAGTGTGGTTTTTTTTTTTGGTTTTGGGGGAAGAGGGGCTGCTGCCTATTTCTCCTTGTGCTGGTAACTGCTGTGGCATTTATTAAGCATGACGGTAGATACAATATTTAAAAAAAAAAAAGGAAAATCTGAAACAACCCCCTTCCCACTTTCCAATACTGCTTTGTGAAATGAATCTGCATGGTTCCTAGGGTGTCTCTAATTTTTTTTTTCTGTCATTCATTCTCTTTCTGGCAGGAACTTCACGTCTGAGTGAGAGGACCTTCACATGTAGAGTGCAGCATTTGGGACCTTTTTGCAAAAGACCAAAACGGAATGTTTTCTGACTTTTGAGAAAACAGTGGTGATGTCTGAAGGGAAATGGAATGAGTGACAGAAAACTACGAACGAGAAATGACATTCAGCTTTGTATAATAAAAACACCTATTAACATTCATCACAAGGTACAGAAAACTTGAAGCCTCCAAGAGGCCGCGGGCCCAATGGAGGCCTGAGGTCAGAACTTAAAATGGTATAGGAGAAGCCAAAAAAAAAAAAAAAAAAAGGCAATACATTAAAAAGTTTGGGATAATTATTTTTAAACCCTCCCCCCAATACACACACAAAGGCCTTCCCCATCCCAACTGGAAGCAAAAAAAAAAAAAAAAAATGGAGTAAAGGCAGTGATAATCAACATGCAGTACTGTGCAAATAGGTCGTCCATTGGAATCCTTAGATTCTGGGCAGAGGCTTGGTCTGCAGCTCAGGCGCACATGCTCAGTTGGGTGTCTTCGTTGTGCAACGTCGGAAGGACTGCAGTTCAAAGTCTGCTGCTAAAAGTGAATCAGTTTAGCGAATTTACAACACTGATGTTGACTGTTAAGAGAGGAAAATCCCCAGTACCAAACAAGTCCATCCAATGCACAGAGTACAAATTCCTTTTTTCAACAAAAAGTAGAAAAATCAAAAATACTCCCAAATGGGATTCTTGATGGCACTAAGAGTTAACACATTGCAGAGTTGTCAAAATGTAGTGAAAAATCCTCCAGACTGTACAACCAATGGAGAACGATTTCACTGCCAACTTTTGACATGTTTTGTTTTGTGTGTGTGTTTTCTCCCCCCAATCTTCACACTCTTGGGGTCGGCCTGCCCAGATGTTCACTCCATGTCCTCATTTACAGGTTCATCTTCGTAATCTCTGTCGTGGTCAAAATCTGGACTGTGGTTGGCTGTGGTCACTAGGGAGAGCGGCCCTTCAGCTTCCTCAGGGTCCAGGGGCTCTTCTTTGACGTGCACAGGATGCCTGGAAAAGCACGAGAAGGTTCACTGAGGGGACTTCCCAACTCAGGGTAAGGTGGGTGTTCTGGGTAACACGGAAGCCACAGGCTAGGGCTCTGACGTTCTACAGAGCAGCCGCTAACCCCGTGTGACTATGAAAATTAAGACAGTTGAACATTGTGCTTCTCAGTTGCACTGGCTACATTTTAAGTGCTCCAGGGCCGCCGTGTAGGCTACTGACTACCATACTGGACGGCAGGGAGGGAGATTCCCATCAGCCCAGAAGGGTCCCTGGATGGAAGCATCAGTGGGGTCCTCCCACGGGGTTTCTAACAGTGCGGTGTGCACGTGTGTCAACATGGGCTCTGGGTAAAATGCAGCCTGGGACTTTCCATCTCTGACCAGCGCCCCACTGATGCTGCTAGTCCAAGGACACACTTTGGGTAGCAGCTGACAGGCCCTGGAGTGGCCTCCTGCACAGAGGAAAACACACCTTGAAATAATCCCCTGAACCAAAAAACAGTAACGCAAGGGGAGTTTGTGGGGACCAAAAACTGAGGCTGGGCTAATCGCAGCTCGCTGTGTGTTCTGCTTTGCTAGTTAACATGCAGAACCTGTAAAAGAACTCTCCGGAGACCGACCCCAAGCGAGGGTCTATCATTAATCAACTTCAAGCAAACACAGCAAAGAGACACCATGATACATGCTGGAAACTCCAAATTAATGCATATTTTTACAAACTGTCAATAAGGCAAGAAAAGCCCTGCCAGGAAACACAAATGGAGAGGAAAAGGTGTGCTCGACACAACAATATGATAAGAAAGCAGAGCCCCGGTCAGAATAATAACACTGTCAGCTGTAAACAAGACTAAACAAGAGGCCCGGCTGGTAGCGGCCACCGGGACGCGCCGGGCTCTGATGAGATCTGCCAACGCGCTCATTACAGCCCAACGCACAGTTCACCCGAAGGGGCCGGCGGGGGACCACACGAAACCACTCCGATAACAACTGAGAAATGTTGTTCGTAAATCATATTTACAACCGATCCTTTTGCAAATACAAATTACTTTCAGTTGTGGGGCTTTTGATATGTAAAAGAGCCATTCAAGTTATAAAACCCGGTCCCCATTCAAGTTTTAAAAGAAAAAAAAAAGATCCCATTGCAGGGACAGGCTACCAGGGGTGGATTTTTTCGTTCGATTTTATCAAGTATTAGTAATAAGAGGTGGTGCTGGGGACTGCTGCCTCCCTAAATAATTGATGCTGTGTGCAAACCCTGAAGGCCACTTGAACCTTGAAAAACCAACAGAGGAGTGCTCCGGACTGCCCTTGCCACGGGGACCTCCAGAAGACCAACTGACTCTCAATTAGCAAGGCCTAGAGAGTGTCTGGAGGTGGATGTTGGGAAAAATAGCTTTTAAAAAACAGAGCCCGTGTTCTTACAAACTATGTGCAAAATGAAATATGCCCAGGTTGTATTAGAGTATGTCTCACTAGTTTGGCTCCGTATATTCTTAATTTGTTAATGGTCCTATTTATTTGTTTTCAGAGTCAAGATCCAGGACCAGATGCGTAATTTGCAGAGCCCAGTGCGAAGTGAAAATGCATTTCAAAAATTCATTGAGACTTTCCAGATGGAAACCGCTGAGCATTAAAACCTTCCAGCGTGGGATCCTTGTGAGACTGTGTCCATCACATGCCTGGAAGGCAGCCCTGACAGGCCCCTCCCCTATATTCTTTCGGGAAGAATTGGGTGCGTGGATTTTTATTCCCTTTTTAAAAAATCACCCATAAACCCTAGTTAAGGGAGGATATTTTGTTTTGTCTATCCTCTCCCATTTGAGGTCATGTCTTCACATATTGCAAACATAACAGGAACATTATTTTGCTACCTTTACAGTTTTTAATTTTTATGACTATATGAGATTCCACTGCACTGACTGACAGGTTAGCCCCTTCATACTGGATGTTTGGGGACTGTCTTTTTCTCGCCTCTGTACCCTTCAACCCCGCTGTGCTCTTTGTTGTAAAAGTGACCACTTCTATCCATACTTCTGTTGATTTATCAGCTTAGGATAAATGTCTGAGAATGAAACTGTTGGAGCAGAGGCTAAAACATCTTATGGTTCTTATGATTTATTGCAATGTTAATTTCCAGAGAAGCTCTATCAATTTAGACTCAACCTCATCAGCCCCAAGTGTTCCTTTTCAAATATGGTGTGTTGCTGAGCAGGTATAGGGGAAGTTCCAGTTACCTTCAACTGCGTTTCTCGGGTGACTGACAATGGTGAACGTCACTTTATGTTTGGGCTTCATATTAGCACTATTGGAACTGTTACTTCACCCCCTCCTGTCCTCTGGTAGCATGGTTCTAGTAACAGTTTGGACAAGAGTATTTTAGGGTTGTGTGTTGCCTGAACTGTGAGTCAGCTGTGTTTCCCATTTTCCTATTTTCATTTTTTTTCACAGTACCAGATATATTCATCTTTTCAGGTTTATAAAGCTCAATCTGAAGACAGAAATGATACAAGGCTATGGGTGGGAGGGGTGGGAGACCCTATGAACAACTGGAGAGTCTTAATGAAGCTCTTGCTTTATAATTTGAGACTTTGACAAATGTTTGGCTAGGAAAAAAAAAAAAAATCAGGTATGTGTCACTTCCCCCGACCTCAACCCCAACAAGGTAGAGTTCACAGGGAGAGTATTTGGTTCCCCCCTGAAACCTGCAGGCAAACTTCAGTGAGATTATTTTCCATCCCAAAGACAGAGGTGACGACCCTGTGCACCCTGGTTCAAACCCAGCACCTACTATCGAGTGGAGCCCCAGCAAAGGTGAACCGATCAGATCTATGGTGTGACAACCCGCCAACACAACCAGGTGAGATGTTAAGGCTTCTTAGAACTCCAGGGAAATGAGATCCACTTCACGACACTCCGTGAAACCAGCAGACACCCCAATGGGGCCACTGCGCAACATGGACAAGTAGGGTTCTAGAGACTGAGAAAGAGCGGCTTTGCATGCAAGATCCATTTGCCGTAAGCTGCAAAGTCCTTAAGACACTGTGCTTCACAGTCACCCCCTGCACCCTGGGAATCGGGGCCGCGCGTGGTGCCCTCTACGCTCACTGGTCACCTCCTCCCCTCTCTGACTCCTGCTTCCGAAAGGGCGTGCAGTGACTGACTGTGCCAAACCCCACATTCTCCTTCTTAGATCTAACTGCTTTCTTTAGCCACTGTGGGAACAGTAGGGTTTTTAAAGTGAGCTGACTGCTGTCTAAAGGCACTGTGTTCAGAGAGTGTGGGGACAGCATGGAGTATGTGCTTTGTACGATAGCTCCTTTAGCTCCTCCCAGGACGAACGTATAATACTCCAAAGCCATACTCATGGGACTACTTTGTAGTGTTCCGAGAGAGAAAAAATGTAGTGGTATTTGAGTATCACAGGAAAGGTAAGAAAAAAGAATTCTATGTCAACACTAGATAGCAGCTGGGCTGTTACTAACAGTATCCTTTAAGCCTTGCTGTAAAGTTTACGATTTGAGTTATTTCAATAGAATAGAAAGGTAAGGAGACAGTCTGCATCATAGCAGGTAATGCATGTTGGATAAGAATTAAAACTCCATTATAGAATTTGCTTAATGGAAATGTGAGATGAAAAAGGGTAACCATCTCCAGCACTGAGAGGAGGCACAGGAAATGGGCTGATGACATATAATTCTTTTTAGCAAAATAATTTATTGTACTGTACACCTGTGAGATTTGAGCAACAAACAGTATGCTTTTTGACATCTTTATACAGGGCTTTTTAAAAAAAAACAAACCATCAGTAAAACCTTCACTTTGATAAATTAACCTGAGAGCTGCGAAACAAGATTTCTGGTTATATTGGGGTTAACTCAAAGTCTGCATAAATTAACTTTACAGTGACTATCTCATACAGAAAAATTAGCATCACTCAACACTGCTGTGTGAGTTTTTATCCAAATATCTTTCCTTTATTTTTTGTGTGTGACTTTTTCTTTTATTATAAACACAGGAACACACGCCAGTGAAACCTCGGAGTTCTGTGGGCACCACGGAAAACTCTCTTCCACTCAGTAGCTTCAGACGTTTTCGCTCCATAGTAAGTATTTCCTGAAGGAGCATACATAACAATTTATATTTGCCCTGAACTTCCTTAATATCTTAGTAAATACTCCTGTCATGACAATGATTTAAAGATGAATGCGGGTGTGATAATAAAGTCAGAAACACCAGGTTGCTAGAGAAGGATGATATATGGCAGTGGCAGCGGGAGAGATAAACACGTTCTTAAAATGTTGTGGAGGAAATGCTAAGGGACTGTTATGAATTTAAAAAGACTATTTTCATCTTTAAAGATCCTTTTCAAAGCACTTTGGGCATGAAATTCAAATGCTAAATAATCAAATTTCAGATTCCTCCAAAGCCACCAATTACCCACACTGGCAGACAGCATTTTGCCTTTGTTGTGAGATGCCAATTCATTCTGTTGCTAATTGCTACAGGTCATATTTTCCATTCTGATCACTCAAATGCTCTTAAACTAAGATGTTGGTCAGTAATTCAGAAGCATTGTGTAGACAAGGGGTCTATTTCTAGGGGCCGACAGCATGGTAAACGCTGCATTGGTTTACTCCTGTAAAGCGGGCGTTGGTTTTACAGACACTCGCTAAGAGGGAGAAGCATCCCTGGTGAGTCCTACATGGGAAAATGGGGTTTCTTTTCTCTTTGAAACTTCTTGCAAGAGAGGGAGCTGTGTCACCCTTCCTGCCTCCCACTGCCCACTCCCAGGGGCATCTCACACACATGCAGGACGGACAGCCCTCACCCGGCACTCCGCACGGTTCTGGGCGTGCTCATTATACTGCCGTCTGCTGCTATAATGCCCCTATTAATTTTCCTTTTGATATTTTAAGAGCAATCTATAAATCATGCCGTCTTTCCTTCGTGCCATCATTAATGCTTGGTAATAGCACTTCAGCGTGGCGTGCGCGGCTCCCCATTATCCCACAACCAAGTAAACAAGCATCCTTTCCCGCCCTGCTGGGTTCAGCGCGCCGGCACGTTGAACAGACAGCGAACTCTGCCCCAGGATGCATACTGCTTCTAGGAGGAAAAGGTAAGGTGGCTGAAATAATGGCCCGAGCTGGCCGAGCAAGGGCAAAGAGCGCAGGCATCATCCCCTTTGCAGCTCTGGGCATTTGTGGGGCTGCAGGAAGCCCACTGCCTTTATGGGTCGGATATAAGTGGTCCTTTTAGCTGCGAACGAGTTAAACATTTCTGGAAGCACCCACTTCTACCTGGTTCTAGGAAGTCAGAAATGACAGAAAAGCCAGGGGATCTGATAGCGGAGGTGCTGCAGTGGCCGGTACTCACACAGCTTGCAGAGGGGATCGGCCCGGACTGCTGTCGCTCTCGTTGCTGTTGGCGTGCTCCATCGCCCCGTTCAGCTCTTCCCGGATCGCGCTGGCCAGGTTGCCCAGAGTGGGGTTTCCCATGGAAGCGGTAGTGTATAGAGGTATACTGTTCTCAGCCATCGAAGCCTGCCATCAACCCAAAGAAAATGTATGAAGACACGGGGTGTACACAGACAGGGAGGCTATCAATTACAGGTGGGTTCGATGGTCTTCAGTTTCGATTCATTCTGGTATAGTTGGCAAAGACAAGTGTCTAATAGGTCTAGAAGGGCTATGCTTTAAGGGTCAAGCTGATGATGACACATGTCCCAAGCTGGGTTCCAAAGAGCTATAGCTGGAGGGACCGAGGTGCCTGTGAGGTGGAGGCACAAGCTTTAGACAAGGCTATCTCATAACGAGTTTTCTGTCTGAAGCCTTTTTTCAAGAGGAACTGAATATTTCCAGATCACAGGGAAATGTAATGGAATTTTCATTTCTTTATCCACTTCGATGACTCCACTATTGGATATTAAAGGTTTGATCAGATTATTCTGGCCGCAGAGCCCAAACTTATGAGAACTCCCATAAACATTTACGTCTCAGATCCTATAGAAAAGGAAGAGATTATAGAATTGGAATCAATTTTTATCTCCCCTCCCCATCATTTCTGTCTTAATGATTTTTGAATCTTTTTAGTGTACTCAGAGATAACTGGTTGAAGGTAACTCTATGCAATCTTTCAGGTTCCAACCAATCATCTGGAATTTGAGGACCAAGGAAAAAAGAAATCTCTGGCAAAAGGAAGCTGTAAATCACATTTCTTTAGGGGGTACGTAAGTACATCCATATCGAAGGTGACAAAGTCACTCTAAGTTGAGTGTCAGCGAAAAAGTGTGGAAATGGAGAGAAAAAGAAAGATATCCTAAACCCTATGGTCGGATATACGGTTCATTTCCTATCTTACTGCACTTGAATAAAACGACCACCCAGTCTGAGATGCAGACAACAGTCAGACCTCTCACTGGCCTAAAGTGTCCATGCTGTTTCATTTGGGTCATGATTCTGACCTAGTAACATTGCATTTTATTAAAGAGGACAGACATTCAAAAACTGGCAGCTGTAATTAGACCAAAATTTATCAAACTTGTTCTCTTGCAGACTACACTCGGCCTGGTTTTCCATCCTAATGAGGTAAAAGTACAATCACAAGACAATCCGGCACAGTGACTCCAACTGGCCAGTGATATGAGAGTCCAAACGATTCTAGAAAACCTGGCCCTCAAGACCAAGTAAAAGCCAAAAGTGAAGAGAGAACAGGTGCAGAGCTGGGCTGCAGGGAATCTGCATGTTGAAAGAATCACAGTCTTGCTCACTGTACAAGGTCCAAAGCCAGAAACACCTTTGAGTTCTAAGTGCAGGGATGGACGACCTGCCCACATCTAACAGCACTGGCTAAGGGAAGACTTCAAAGCCAGGCCCACTGCAAGCCCACGGCTTTGCCTTCCCTCCACTTCTGAATTTATGTAACTGGCTTCTTCTAAAAAGTGATGGGGGTGGGGGGAGAATCCCATTTTCATTTCCAAATGTGGTGAACTCATCTTGACGAACAGCACATCTGAACATTCCTCACTCTCCTACAGTTTGTCAAATAATTTGCATCAAGTACTTTTTTTCAAGAGATCTCTTGTAATTGCAATAAAACAGTTTTTCTTTTTTTGGCAGAGTGAAAAGTCAGACCCGTTGCCTGATCCGCCCCGCATCAAGCAGTAGCTGCACACACACACTGGCTGCCTTTCCTTTAGACAACACAGTGGCCCTGTGTCTCCCTGACACGGATGTTCTCTGGGACCATCAGTGAGTCTCTTTCGCTTTCACAGCTAGAAGGCGGCAAGAGAGGGGCCACGCTCTAGTTTGGTATTTTTTTCTTGCAGCTTCTCCAGTCAAAGATGGAGAAGTACATACAACACTGAAATGTTCCCAAGAATGTACGCTTTGGGATGAGCTGGACAGGGCAACCTTTTCAGGATGATTCATTCTCTGTGGCTCTCAGTATGTTCTGGGTCAAGGCCATTTCTGATGGGAACTGGATCATAAAACACAGGCTGACACTGGTGAAAGGCATCCAAAGGTAAGCACTTACACCGATCCCTTGATTCTCAGACAAAAAAGACATAAATGAAGAAAACCAGTGGGCTCCTCTTTTGAAAAAATGACGACGTGGGCTGCAGTGAGAAACCCGGTCACTCCTACACAGACAGCTTCTTGGACATTCTCTGCGTGAGTGACCAAAGCCACCTACCCGAGCTTAGAAAACTTCCCACCAACGGCTTAGGTCTAACGTAGTGGCTCTTTTTGTACTTGATGTCTATACTGGAGCAAGGGGTTACAGAGTTTATAAAGGACTGGTCCAATGCAGAGTATGTGGCTTCACATCACACTGGCCTCTCTACCCCCCAAAAACGAAGGTGCCTAAGTCCTGTCCTTCCTGGAGCCTTAACTGCGCTGAGATCCCGGCGGGGAGAGGCAGTCTATAAATATGAAGCGTTACGGTTACCCTTAGTTACTTCACTTTTTCAGAGCATAATGCAATCTGTCCCGAGTCCAATGTTTTATTTCTGTAGTGGATTCTGCTGTCCTATTTTATATATTGTATATCACGCGTTATGTTGCTCTAGTAATCTTTTGAAGATGTTGTTCCACTATTATTTTTACTTGCCTTGAAAAAAATGGAAGTGGGCAGGAAGGGGAGGCCTGCTGGCAGACTCTATTTAAGGTGCACAGTGGAAAGTCATCTACTGACCAGGACCCAAACTCCTGGAGGAGAGGAGGAAGAGCCAGTCCTCAAATCATGACCTGAGACCCAGGTGTTCACCTCACCTCATGACAGCTACAAAGGATTCTTGGGAAAATGGTGGGAGAGTGTGGGGCTATCACTGAAAGTAAGAAAGCATCCTAGTGGAAATTAGTCACAAAGTTAAGAGAATCCAGAGGCTGGAGGATCACTGCTGCTGGTGGGCTGGGTTTTTTTTTTTTTTTTTTTTTTTGCCTGGCAGCCTCATGAATGTCAAATGTGCTTGTAATCTGAATACCATTCCAGATAGAGCAGCCTTTAAATTCACACTTCATAAGACTCCAGGGAAAATAAGCTACTAATGAATGGTATTTACAGTGGCGGCATCTAAGCGTGCGTTCATTTGCTTTTCTAAAGTTACTGTGTAAACTACAAGTAATTAAAAGAAACATAGAAAGTAGTTCCTCCTATTAAATTTGTTTTGGGTTCTGTATGTGTGTGTGTGTATATATATACATATATACATATATATATATATATATAATTACTGAAAAGCTAAGCCGAGTGAATTTGCCTCTGGACTCAAAAGTGTGTTAAGGCTGTGTATGCTCCATCCTCAGAAGCCTGAAGCCTTCGCTGTGTAAACAGTTCTCTAGGACACAGGGCAGGTGCTCAGTGAGAATAGGAAGATTATTCTATCCCCTCTTCACCCAACTCCATTCCCCTTGATGCCGAGCGTCTCCATCGTGTTTGCATCATCATCATCCCCTGAAGGAGCCTTTTTAAGACGTTAGCTTCTCGGTTTGCGCCCTTCCCTCAGGAAACGTTAATCTCGGCCCTTTGAAGGGGCACAGGACTCGGCCACATCTGTACCAAGAACGCAGGCTGCGGAGGCCCACAGGACCCTGTCCGCCGATGAGCTCTGGAGGGCGGGCCTGCCCAGGTGAGTCCAGTGACGCGTACTACAGTCCTCTCGATTGTTGGGTAACTGAGATGTGCAATAATTAGAAGGCTTAACAGATGCCAGGGCTGCCCTGGTAACTCACATCGGGGAGGCACCTCCCTCCTCCCCCCGCCCCCCACCACTGGTACCACCGGTTACGTAAGGACGCTTGGTTTGTCAGTAGGAGACAAACATCCTGCAAGCTTCTTATGTAACCTTGAGCAATCTGCTGGAAACCTAGAGAGTCTAACTCTATCGCTTGAACAAAAACAGTTTACTTTTACCAAGCGAACCAAACCCAGCCTCCTCCTTCCCCAGTGAAAAGATGCTAAAATAGACTTTAAAAGGAGGAGAAGAAATAAAAAAGCTCTGCTTTCTCTTTAAACCCATGAACAATAGAAGGTCATGTGATACAGTAGCCTATCATCCAGCACATTAATAGCTGTGCTAGAGTAATTACACTTGTGGTATTTTTGCCTCAAGTGAAATTCTGAAATAAGAGGATGGAAATTATGATACTGCTGATAAATATTAATAAGTGAACTTTTAATTTTTTTGCCACAATATTCAAAATGCTAAGCATCCTGCTAATGCTGAAGCAGCCCGATGTGTTTGCCTCCAGGGAGTACGATGCTTTGTGCACTTAAGAAAAAAGTTTAACGGAATTAAAATTTAATATCTAATTAGAGCGAGGCTAATATATTTTGAAATGAGTGGGGGAGACATGTCCCTCTGCCACAGAGTCGGGGCAGCCGTTCATCTTACCTGTAAAGCTGCATTGAGAGGTGTACAGTAGGCGTGGCTGGTCTGCATGTTTTTAATAAGGGAAGGGTTACTGTGTAAGAGAAAGATAAAAACTCAAAGTTAAACACAATCAGCCCCCGAGTTCTTTGCTAAGTCTTAAGCTTGCTGGTATCCTTCCAAATCAGAAACGTCTCCCAGTCCCCAACCCAAAGGAAAGTCGGGTTTCTCCCTGGCCCCTGGCTTCACTGGGGACTGGCCTGTGTGAACACCTCTGAGTTGGACAGATGCTGCCGTTCAAGCACATTTGGGGCAAAACTATGGACTATGTAATAATTGGCTTGGGCACTTCCTTCGCGGATGAATCTCTGTCAATTTGGAGCAGCCGCCCTGACTCCAGCAGGAAGGCTGATGCTCTGGGATGTCAGGGAGCTGACAGCAAGGTCTTCTGGGAGCGGGTGGGAGGAATCCTGGCTCTTAAGCTTCTTCAGGATTTGAGTTCTAGAATACATGCTGGAGGAATGGCAGGGTAGCTCTAAAGAAAAAGTCTTCAAAGCTCATTTACTGCCAAAAGGAGAGGGGGGTACTCCAGGGAGGGTTGGTCAGCCAAGGTTGGGTTCAGGTCTTTCTGGCACAGCCAAATTTGTGAGGATACAAGAATAATTGGATGCTGTGTCCATTTACTGACCAATTGAAGACAAGATTCTGTTGTAAGAACATCTCACGCCAGAAAGGATAAAAATACTTAAAAAAAAAGAATCACACATAAGGATATGGGCAGAAAGGGGGGTGGCTTTGGGGAGGAAATTACCTACATTGATCCATGATCCTTAAAGGAAGTAGATGGACTGTTAACCAACTTCCTTCTATGCTTGGAGCACTTTTATCATTCATTTTACATTTATATTGTTATACAGAGTGAGCCAATAAAAAGAAATTTACCCCAGTAAATACACATTTTAACTCTACAGAAGAGTTTCCTTTTCACTTGGAGGGATTAGGGGTCACGCAAAAGCAGAGTTATAGGGGTCCCCGTAAAGCTGCTGAATCAAAAGACAACCGGTATTTGCATTAAAGACGTCAAAAAAGCATTATTCAGGGCGCTGGTGTTCCAAAGGGAAACGAGAGAAATACATGTACAAATCACACAATTTAGTTCCGTTGCAGAAAGCCGTGGCACTGCTACGTGGTGAAATGCAAAACTATTATGGGATGAGTCAACCATGCAAAGCCAAAGCAACAGCAGAAACAAAAAACAAAAGCAAGTAAAGGCTCTTACTGTGCGACAAGCTCGTCAAAGTTTTCATCGGGGCAGTATTTGCGAGGACGGCCTCGTTGAATATGGCGGCCACGTTTAAACTCTTCATCATCAACTGTCCAAAAGGACCCAAACTCATCCTCTACTCTGATAAAGCACTTATGCAGTGAGAGGTTGGTGCGAATGGCACCCTGGGATAGGAGCAGCGGCAAAGGAGATGGAGTGGCAACAAAAGGAGAGGCGGGGTTGGGGGCAGAACAGACATCCAATACAGGGGACAGGAGAAAGAAAATAAGATGCGATAAGCATAAGCCAATGGTTTGTGAGGGTTAATATGCATTGCCACCTAAAAGCTACCAGCATGTGATGCAACAAAGACCAGCAAGCAGGGCAAGGGGACTGGCGGGTATACAAAACAGGAGGGATGAAATGCTTTTTTGCTTCCCTTAACTGAGACAACGTGAAACCAGGTGTTTGGTCTAACACCATCTAGCAGCCAAAAGCCTCTACGTGACACTGGTTAGCGCAATCCAAGCTAGGCTAAGAAGTTCAAACATGGTGGACGTACCCACTGATCTTTTGTGGCCTTCGTTTTTGGAATTCTACTTCATCCACTGTCCATACTGCCCCTTTAACGTTTTCTACTCGCACAAAACACTTGTGAAGACTAAGATTATGACGCACTGCATTCTGCAGCAAGTATAAAAGAGAGAACATTTTCTATAAGAAAAAGACTCCAAAAACAGCAGTAAATTCAGCCTAACAGCCCACAGTTGTAAACCCATCCCCAAGAGCTGCAGCTCCCACCCCTAGGAGGACCCTCCTGTGGTGAAGGGTGCCTCTTCCAAAAAGAAAAATCAAAATCCAAAATGATGAGTTACCTGTACTTTGGCATTTTAGCCTAATCTCTGGTAAGAGTTAACCAGAGTATTTTTTAATATGTGTATTAGCCCCCAAACAGGTTTCACAGCCAAAATAGAAAAGTAATGTTAATATGACTTCAAAATCAGGAAACAAGTAAAGCATAAAACAGTCCCTTTTAAACCCACTCATCTCTCATACTAAAATATTAGCTCCCAAATATGTTTCACAGCCAAAATAGAAAAGTAATGTTAATATGACTTCAAAATCAGGAAACAAGCTTAAAACTGTCACCTTTCAACACATTGTCTCTCATACAAAAATGGTTTAAGTCATTTTGCTGCTGCTTTTTTATTCTTTGAAGTTTTGGCTTTAACACCTTTGACCCATTTTCTCAGATTTATTGGGAAGAAACAGACACTGGCTGTTTACCACTGAGAGTACCGCCTCCTGCATCTGACAGGATCAGAGGATGACACGACCCCCAGTGGATCAGCATCCGTTATCAAGCTATGCCTTACCTTCCCAAATACAAAGAAGCTGGCCCTTACTGGGGGTAAGTGCTTTAGTTAACAGAGAAAATGCCAAAGGGAACCATGAGTAGAACTCTCAATGGCAAAATGAGACTGCTTTATTATTTGATGGCTTCTATTTTACATATAACTTTCTTAGGGTGAAAAGGAAATTCTGGTCACTGCTCAACTGAAACCCTTGACATCTGTAACCTACCAAAGGAGGAGCTCAACTGAAGGGTGAAGAGTTTTTAACATCTCACCTTTCCCGAGTTTCAGGAAATTCCACAACCCTTACCAGGTAAAGTAACAAGCACAGTTTCCTCTTCAGTTCTCCTGGTTGAACTTACTGACACTCAAAACTGGACATGAGGATATTTCAAAGAGACCCAAGTCATTTACTCCCAGTTTTCTTCTTACAGGGAATAAGGTGACAATGTGGGCCTAAGAAGAGGATACTAATACCACACCTCGCATCCCTCGTGAGTCCTTCACTTTATTTCAGCAACACTGCTATTGCTCAGACATTCTGTATTCCTTCCCTTCACCACTTCCTCTCTCCCTGGTCCTTTCTAGGGGCAGATCTTGATCTGTTCTTTGAGAGGTGTTTCCATTTTTGGATAATCACCACTGACTGGTGACTCTGTGAGGAGTCATGCTAAAGAAGGGTGATTTTTCTGGTCTGATAATGGAATATTTAGAAGGTAATGAGATAAATTTTATCACATGGCATGATGAACTGCTCACAGGAAGAAGCCATAGAATAAATCCTCAAGGAGTTTCAGCATAACTGGGGTGGGTTCAAGACTTCCAAGTGACTATAAAAAGGATACCCGTGATTCAGACAGGTTTGATAGGTTTCTATCAAACAACAATCTCTGGAAAATGTTTGGCATTATACTTGATAGGACAAATTTCTCCACATAGAGTCTTTAAAAAGCATTTTCTATTTTATATTGCACAAAGGCAGAGATAACAGTAGACCCTTAGCATTCTTTATCTCCTAGAACAACACTGAAGTGCTTGAAATAAACCTAAGTTTCTTACCCCGCCCCCCCCCCCCCCCCAAAAAAAATCCAATCCAGAGGACATCTAGCTGGGAAGAGAAACCAGCATTTTGTCTCATCGTAATCATATCTACTGTTTTACAGTAAGTATCAAAATGTACAAAAGTGGAAAAGCCATGTCTGAAAAACAGGGCTGCTCTAGAGCTATCTAAATTGTACAGCCATATAAATTAAGAGGTAAGGGCAAAACTTAAGTTTCTGTTTTTGGAGACTGTACATCCAAGCACAAGCAACTGGAAATAGAGAATTTCCCCGAAGAGGTGAGTGAGCTCTTCCCAGTCATCACTTTTACCTGGCATTTTATCTTTTGTGTAAGATCACAGCACAAACAGGACATGTATTTCTGAATCACTAAATACTTGTTTATAATGAATGGCACTTTTTCTGGCAGTTTACAGAAATGAAACAGTTAAATCTGAAAATATGAGCCTAAATATCACATTCAAAACTGGTAATTATTTTAAAATCTGATCATTTGCTATTTATAAAAGGTAATTAGAAGAAAATGTCTGCTTCATGTTTATACTTCCTAAATTCTGAAAAGCATACATAGCTGAAGATTGTTTTGTCTTTTCTATCTCAGGGCAGGCTGAAGAAGAGAAAGGAGTATTTTGAACCAAGTTCCTTCAGTGCCTATGTGTCTTAATAGAAAAAAGGTACACTGGGTCATTATTCATAACTCTGTAAGTGTGAAGAATTCTGTGTTTGATTTCCTCCCATATAAAGTTAATAAGTAGCAAGGAAAACTTCTAATTCAAACAAAACATGTTTTATTTGCACCCTATAACAAACCCCTATCATCTTTATAATAAAACCATGTAAAATATTTGCATTTTAAATATTTCTAAATGTCTTAGAATTGGGGCATTGTAAGAATTCTAGATATTAAATATACAAATATGATTAATCTCCAATAGTACCTACCCCCTTTTCTATAGCAAAAATATTATTATTAAAACAGAAATTATAGTGAGGAAATCCAAAAATTGTTGAGGGCTTAATCTAATACAATGCAATCAATACACCAACGGTGGAACTTGGATCGAGGACTGTTGTGTGACCACAACCTTGCTGAGGGCCTCCCACTTGGAGCTATGGAATCTGACTTGTCTAGAGCAAATGCTGTCAGTCAAGTCATATATTTCATAATTACTTTTCTTACACACAGTTAATGAATATGACAGTTTCTTCACTTAAGAAACAGAACCTATATACATTTAGGGTTCTCCTGTAATAACTCCATATACTGTGCTAGTGTTTGGAGTGTACAGCCTTCTCCACTTATGTCACATTTACCTGATCATTTTTACATGTTACTAATGGCTAAAGAAAAAAGTTATCTATGCAGTCTCTGCAGAAATACATGCTGATGGTGGCTGAAGACCTCAAGGCATGAGGTTTGTGTACAAAAGACCACCTCCTTCACATTCCAACCATAGAGAAACAGACAACTTTGGTCTATCTGATGCAAAAGTAAGGGAGTCTTCTTCCATCCTGGCATTTCTAACACCACAGTAATTATTTTCTCAATCCAATATTTCTACAAATTAGACTCTCTGAATATATCAAAACAATATTACTGTAACTTACAAGACCTGCATGTTACCAACAACACATTCTCTCCTGTAAACCGCAAGATCCAAGACTAAACAGACCTGCAACAAAGCTTACCTTCCACGTGGCAGCATTACGTCGGAAGTAAGCAAACATTCGTGTGAACCAGTTATAGATTTCATTTAGTGTTAGCTGCTTTTCTGGAGATTCGAGAATGGCCTGTGAAGCGAAAGTAACAGAAAAAGATAATTTATGACCAAATCAGCACAACTGTCATTATACGATTTTTGGAAAATAGAAAATAACTGTGATGCCGAGCTAAAGCCTGAGAAAGGTTTCACGAAATGATCTAAGATGAATGATTCTATTTACCAGTTCAATAGCAAAATTCAAAATGGAGTTATCTAATTGTTTTGAGTTTTTATTTCTGTTTCCGTACAGAAATATTAATTTATTAGTCATTCATAAAGCAGAATCAAAGAGAAATGCAAAACATTTCACTAGCTGATTAAAGCTCAGTAATTATTTAGAGCTCAGATTAATTCTAGGGATCAGAGATTACTGTAGCTTGTGATAATTGACTTGCCATCTTTAAACAGGCTCATTTTCACTGTTGTGTGAAATGAATTTCCTAATAATCACATCGTATTGTAATACTTAATCAAAAGCAATTATGTTATATATTGCAGTTTTAAAAAACCTTATAGAAAAGGTTTTAGCATGCTTGCATACTAAACGGTTTTAAATCTACTTCATCAATATATCCATGTACACATATACCTTCTGATGCAATTTCACAAACTGCATTGTTTACTTACCTGCCTAATTAAAGATGCATATGTAAATGGTGGTCTAACTTCTGCGTTCTTATAAAATTCTTGGTTCTGCGCAATATCTGCTAAATAAGAATCATTGTCCTATTAATTATCACTTTTGACAAACAGGCTGGTCAACAAGCATTGCTGATTTTGTAATCTATGTGAGGCACAATAGGAGGATCTACCTGAAGAGATGGGCACGTTGTATTTGTCTGAGTACCGCCTGCGGATGGGTCCCACCGTGTGCATGCTGGTGGTGGTGATGACGGAGGGGCCTTGGGTGACGGGAGTGATGGGGGCAGTGGGCGTCGTAGGAGTATGAGGTAAGCTCTGTGGAGAAGCCTCTGACGCAGACTTGGAGAGGGTGACACTGGATACCAGATTCAGCTGTGAGGAAAGGAACAATGCTTAGAAGAGCCACCAAGAATGCAACAAGATCCAGCAGGAATGACACATGGAGGCCTGGCCAGTGTTAAGTCTCTAACTAGACGTTTATCAACAGGAGGGGACTTCCCATGTAAAAGCTGTTTATTAAAATTTCTAGCATCCTTTCCTATGATTCTTTTTATGGTAGTTGATTTATAGGTACACAGCTAAGTGATTCAGATACACACACACATCCTTTTTCAGAATCTTTCCACATATAGGTTATTAAATATCTCTTGCAATGTTGTTCTTTCCTATTGCTGAGACAGTTTTTTTCCCCAAAACAGTTAACTAAGTATTTACAGTCACCTAGCCTGGTGAGTGTGACAACTTCCGGGTCATGGTGTTTCTTTAATCACAACTTCACGCCCCTCTTTTATAGCCTACTATGCCTCGTAAACCTCGATGAGGGAGAGAGAGTCCTTGGGGCCCCACGAACACTGATGTTTCACGAAACACCAGTTGAGATGACACAATGGTATCGACCTGAGCTCTGGGACAAACCTTTCTGAATTGGCCTAGTACGACAGAGAAACTATTTTTACTTACTCTCAATAAAAATAAAAATTTTATTTGAACAGCCACATGCTGCCAGTGGCTACACCACACTGGGACAGGCTCACTCAACTCCATGATGAAACTTCAGGGATGGGAACTACTGCAGAAAGGCCTGGCCCATGACCTGTTAAAAAGAGTGGAACCAATCCACTAAACACTCATTTTAGCTCCATCCGTTGGCAGAGACTCCTCTTTGAAAGCTTTATGTGTCATCTTCCTTAAACTCTATCCAATACAGGATTGGAATCTATTCATTTAAAACAAACATGGCATAGGAGAGATCTGGAACTATAAAAAATAAAATCTCATTTTTTTTCCTTCTAGTTTCAAATGTGTAGTAACAAAATGGAGTAATCCAGTGCTTCAAGTACAGAAATACCTACTAGTTATTTGGGGTAGCATGGGGGAAAACGAATGAGTCCTGTTTTGGGCCTTCCTTCCTATTACCTGTTTTGCCTTTGCCTTGAAGTGTTTCTCTTAATAATATTGGAAATACAAGCCTGCTCCCCCCCAACCCCCTTCCAAAAATCTGTTGCTATTGAAACACTGTATCTGGCTCCCACTGAAGAACTTGGTTGTTTTCAACACAGTTCTTACAGTTTACCCAGAAGTGCTCTCTCAGAAACCTGCAGCTACCTACCTCCAATCCTAGAGTTAAGCGGAGCAGGAGCCTGTGGTCCTCACTCCCATCCCCTGTGGAAAAACCTTAGCCAAGGAATAAGCTTAACCAGAGAAGAGAGGACACACAGAAGGGACAGAGGAAACAGAGACTGCACAGTGACACTGCAGTCACCGAGCACGGTCACAGACCTTCAGTTCCCTCGCGAGGGCTACAGGTAACAGTCTGAGCCACAGCCTGCAAGCTGTTTTGCAGACACTGAAATCCCCTCCAAGTAGGAGAAGCTAACTCCATGATGATCAGAATGTAGCCATGACAGAAGCTGCCACAATCCCAAGAAATGGCCTCAAGGAATTGGGAACTGATCGACCCTGGACATGAAGATTAACAGCTGAGAACAATCAAGATGACACTGGTCAGACCACTGATGACCAACTTCAAGATGACTGTCGGAGCTGACTGTGCTGTTTCTGCATGGAGCCCCCTCCGTCTGTCTACAAAAGCTCGTGCCCCCTGATTATCAGTGGAGGGAGTTGGCCTTTGGACAGGCACCTCCCCGACTCCCCACTGTTGACATCCAAAATAAAGCAAACTTCCCTTTCCACCCGCCTGGCCAATTTACTGGCTTTTGAGTGGTGAGCAGCTAGACCTGGGTTCACTAACAGTATCAAAATCTGCCTGAAACCAAATTTTGAATCACTTTACAAATTAAGTCTGTTTCACCACTGCAAGAGTCCTAAATCCAAAGCATTATTTGTAGAAACTATTAAAAATTAGATTCCTCTGAGATCTAATCAAAGAACAGATTAAAAACAGAGTTCCAATTTGTTAGGAAGACTCAATCTTTCTCATGCCCTAGTAATGAGAAATATCAAGTACTGTTGAGGAAATACTGACAGAAAAGGATAAACATGGTGCTGGAAACTGAATGCTGGGTGCAGGCTTTGGGTTGGGTCTTCCTGTTTATTCCTCCCTTGAAATGCTGACTCAGCCAACATCAGACGCACCCCTCCCAGCTCCACCCAATTCCTACCCCAGGCTCCCCCATACCTGGTAAAGGCAAGCTATGGAGATGGCACCATCCTTAGGAATCCCCTGGCAAGCTGGCCAGATGCTGGGAGCTCTTTTTCACCAATGCTGGAAACTTCAGGACACACATTTGCAGACTAAGTGCTCAAAGTCTGTGGAGCACTCGCAGGATGGAACGGGATCAGGGGTCACGGGGGGAGGCTGGGGTGACCACCCCGGCACCTTGGGCCCCACTCACTGACCAAGCAGAGGAACAGTGTATCTAAACATCCATCAGCCCAAGCAACCGGTCTAATGCTCATGAATACACAACTTGTAAAAATCAGATGCTGTTAGGCCTAAGCGTATCAGAATGCCCAGGACAGTCATGGGTGCCATTTGTAAAAACACTGTTGTAAACCCCTTGCCACTGCCTGCTTTATTCTCATATTATCTCTCTCACTGCCTGGCTTTAAATTCTCATATCATCACAAATGCTTGAGACGCTATACTCGTATTTTACAGAGAAGCAGACAGGGGCTCATCAGAGATTCAATAACTTGCCCATATTCACAATCGGGACTCAAAACCAAATACACACTTGTGATTCTAGGCCCTTTGTATAATATTCTCCTTCTGCCCAGATAATGGGAAAAATAAACACGAACCAGGTTCCTTTTTCTACATGTTCATTTCTGGAAAGGACCTGGGGATTAGCTTTTATCCCTGCTTATAAATGGCATTCAATAAATATTTCCGAGCAGACGACGGCAATGGAAACTGCGATGACCAAAACAGGAACAACGCAGATGACTGCTGCCCTTGGAGGGCTTACCATCAAATACAGACACCGATGGAAGGAAAACAGGCATAACCACCATAAAACAATTCCGAGAACCCACTCTGCTTTTTGGCTTCTCAGTTGAAGAACATTACCCTAAACACCACAGTGCTCTTTAAAAGGTAATGAAAATGATAATACAAATACAATGTCCTCAAGAAATATGCACGGTCCTTTCCAGTTCTGTGAGGAAGATCATCAAGTCCACTGGGTTCTAGTTCACTGCCAAAAGCCCAAACTCACGGAAACATTCCGCAAGTGCAGGCCCATCTTTTGGGAGCTCACCTACAAGAACAGACAAGCCCCACAATATGGGTACGAAGTCATAAAACGCGAAAAGAATGTCATTCTTGCAGCTCTGGCAGAGGTCTTAAGACTTGGACCGTTTCTACCCCAAAAGCAACAGTGAAACAGAAAATCTCTCCCGGTTAGCACAATCCCTGACAACAGAGAGGCAGCTGAATTTTCTGGAGACTCTGAAACACAGGTAACCAGGGGAAATCAACACCAAGCCAGGAGAGAGCAGAGAGGGGATTTTTACTGGGCTTGACAAATGACACCGTGGTTCACACCCACCGCTGGGCTGTCTCTAATAAGCCACAGAGGAAGCAGCCAATCTCAGCTAATTACCAGATAAAAATGTATTGTAAGGACTCTCATTAGGAGATGTGGATGGCGGTGATCTAATGATTAAATGCTGCATTCAACTGACCCACCATCAAATCACACTGGTGCAAGGCGTCACGGGGATATTTTGTAGAAACAGTGACTTTATTTAGAGGAGGGGAGGCAGTGATATTTGTAATGATGGCTATGAGGTAAACTAATTAAAAGACAGTTCGGAGAGGAAGAGGGTGGCTGAGAGCAGCTGTGGCCGTTCCAGAACCAAGTGCCAAGTCTCCATAGAGGAACTGCAGTCAAGTGGAAAATTTCTGCCTGACCTCTGCCCCTGCTATTAATTTGCAGGGAAACTAATGACACATATACATATTCCCACAAAATTGTTCTAATTGCTAATTTGCCAAAGGAGCCCTGATTCCAAATTAAACACGACTGTAGACTGTGAGGGAAGGAAGAACAAAAAGCTGTAAACTCCAAATACAGGGGGCTTCGCCTTGTGAAATCATTTGAAGGCTGAACCAACAAGTTAATGAAATGTCAACCTTGTCAAATGTGATCGAAGTTTCTTAACTTTTAAACTCGGGCTGCATGATCACATGCTGGTCTCGAGGAGCAACCATCTCTGGGGAGGAAGGTCACTAGGGGGTGAGAAGATGGAGCTGGGGGGACGTTTCAAGACAGGTTCTGTGTTCAAACCAAACCTGCTCTTTTATTTAAGGACACTCTGGGAAAAAAAGGACCCCTCCCTCCCCCCACCCCAAATTAATTACAGACTTAGAAGAACAAACTGGGAACAGTGAGAGCTGTGCTGTAATCTTGAAAGATTCATCTGAATTGTAAACTATTAAAGCTTAAAACATTCATCAATTAAAAATGAAAGCACAAGTGCTTCGTTCTGACTGTAGCTCAGGTTGGAAGAGAATTTTTTCTCGGGGCCTAGAGCAGGAAGGGATGGGACTTGGGAGGGTTTCTTTTCCTATTTTTCAGATTGTGTTCATTTTCTATTTAAAAAGAAGTTGCTATGTTTAGAAAAGTTAGTAACTCTGATATTTTCTACATGGCGAGTTTCCATCATGTGATGATTTCGGCAAAGATAATCTCTGAAACGCCGGCCAAAAGCTGAATTCTTATGTCACTTCAGATTGTCGTAGGGTTTTCTTTTATTTTTTAATTTCTGTCCACTCTCAGCTATCAGTTTTTCTCCCAGGTCAGTTCCAGGGGAACTCTCCTGGAAATCTCACCCATCCAAACTACTGGAACTGCATCAACTACCCAATACTCAACACTCTGCTGAGCCCCTCAGTGAAAGAAAGA